CCCCAGCCCCCTAGTCGTCTCACCGTGGTGCCCAACAATAGGAAAGGGTGGGGCTGGCGTCTGTGGGCCCCCAGCATAGCACTCAAGGGGAAGTCGGAGCAGACGTCAGCATTGAGCACGAAGAAGGCTTCGGGACTCCCAGCCAGGATCTGGTCCCGGAAATGGTAGAGGCCACCTCCTGTGCCCAGGGGGGCAAATTCCTGCAGGTACCTATGCCCAGGGACACCAGAACCGTCTGGTGAGATCACAGGAGATGGCTAGCATGTGCCTGGTCACCTGACTGTGCTCCCCAGGGGACTCCTGTCCGGAGCCCACAGGACACCCACTATTCAGCCCAAATCCGAAGCCTCCTGGTATAGGAGGCTGAACTCTGGGAAATGCTAGGTCCACCCACTGAGAGCACCCAGAGGCCCGGGCACCCCTCCAGATGTGTGCATGTGCACAGGCACCTGATCGGAAGGTTCCACTCCTGTTGGGCAGCTTCTAGAAAGCGGGTAAGGGACTCATCAGGTTGGTAGAATCCAATGAGCAGAATCTCCTGCATTCCAGGGACCTGGGGACAAAGCAAGAGTTTGGAGAAGCATTTGGTAGGAGGAACTGGGGAGACCTCTGAAAGCAGTTTCGGCCTCATGTGCAGGGGGCTTAGCCATCAACATGCTGGTCTGGCTTCTCTTACTGCCCCTTCTCCATCCCCCACCTGAATTCCTCAAGATTGTGCCTACCAAGCTGCATTAAAAAATAATCTGTTCCCTGTGTTCCATTTTTATTATCTGTCAACCTGAGCCCAAGATCAGCACAAGGCAAGAAAGCTACCGTTTACCACCCATTACCAGGAGACCAAGGCTCAGAAAGGCAGAGAAATTTGTGCAAGGCCCCACGGCCAGGGTGTGGTGGAGCCTACATCTCAACGCATGATTACCTGCCCTGATACCAAAACAAACACCAGACTCACTGCCATGGAGTCAGTGCTGACTCATCGAGACCGCCCCGTGGGTTTCTGAGACTTTAACTGTTACCAAAAGCAACACAGAAATGAGCTCCGTGGTATGCGAGGGTATGAACTCAGTGGTTCAAGCCCACCAGCTGCTCCTAGGGAGAATGATGAGGCTTTCTATTCCCATAAAGATTTACAGCCTCAGAAATCCAGGAGAGGGGGTGTTGGTGGGTCTGGTCTACCCTATAGGAACCCTGGTGGTATAGTAGTTACAAGTGGGGCTGCTAACCTCAAGGTCAGGAGTTCAAAACACCAGCCTGCTTTGTGGGAGTAAGATGGGGCCTTCTATTCCTATAAAGGTTTAGTTTCAGAAACTCCCAGGGGCCGTTCACTACAACTTGGCATTGACTTGAGAATGAGTGAGAAGTGAGTGAGTCGGGATTGTCTCAATGGCAGTGGGTTTGTCAAATTCCACACTCCATACTTTCAATACAGGGGTGAAATCTGAGAGAAGGGGCCAGATAAGAGAACAGGTTTAGGGGAGAAGGCAGCTGCATGACACACCCCCAGAGGTCACCATTCCTACTGTCATCCGTGCACGCTAAGAGCCATGCCTGGTGGAAAGAGCTCACTTTTGGAAAGGGAGCAATGTGGTGTGGGGGAGATGAGCAGGAGATGAGGAGGGAGAGGGAGGCCTTGTGGGGTTACCTGAGCACAGGCCTCTATGTGGTGCTGGATCATGGGCACCCCGGCCACAGGAAACAGTGGTTTGGGCACTTCAAAAGACAAAGGCCTGAAGCGAGTCCCTGGGAGAGGAAAAGGTGAACATTACAGTCTCCTGTTCCCCATCCCACCATCCCCACGGTACCAACCACACCAGTCCACGCCCACCCTCATTGCCACCACTGCTGGTTCCTCACCCTTTTGGGGGCCTCCAATCAGGATCACAGCTTTGAGCATGATGGTGTACGCTACCTAAACTTCAAATCCCAACAGAAAAACCAAGCTCAAACCCCAACATTCAGCCCTCTCCAGTTCACTAAACCCACATTCAGTTTGGGACTTCCCTGGGCAGACCCCCATAAACCTCACCCATCTCAAATACCAACTGAGACTCCGGTTGACTCCCAAACCTTACAGCGATGCTCCCAAAACTCACCACACAATTTGGACACCCCCCCCCCAAAGGCTTCCTTCTGGTCGTGAACAAATTCAACCTCCTCCTCAACTCTGTTCAGACTGCTTCCTCAAGCTCCCAAACTCAGAAACACTGAAGTCCCTTATACTATGGTCCCCAAATCTTTGTATCCCATTCTAAATATTAAACCCTGCAACCCAATAATGAACACTGAATATTGAGCTTTAAATCTTGAGGAAGCCCCAGATATTTCATCTAATCCTAAGAATGAACCCTAAGTATTGAACTGATATGCATTTGACGAACCCCAGATTCCAGCTAAACCTCTCTAGATGAAAATGATAAACCCCAGATTAAAAATAAAAAAAGACTAGCTCGCTAGTGTTCCAGAGAGTGAAACTACCGAACGCCCAAGCCCTAATAATGAGGACTGATGCTGAACATCTGGATTCCGAGGGTTGATTACTGCCGACCCACTGAACCTCAACATTATCTCTACAATAAACTGTCGCGCAGTGTAGCCAGGGACCCTGAATCAACACTGGTGCAGACCAGCGGAGAGCCAACTGGGGCCTCCTAGCCCGCCCTTCCTCTAAGGGCCGTGCACCACCCCTTAACCCCTCGGCACCCCACCATCATCTCTCTTTACCACTAGCACCCTTTACGCCCGGTCTGCCTTTCGTTTATTGCTGGCTCCTTCCGCACACGTGTCTTCTCGCAACTCGCGAGAACTTTGCAGAGTATGCCGGGAATTGTAGTTCTTAAGGGCATTACCCTCCCCCTCCGCCCTTGTTCTAACGCGGCTAGAGGAAGAGCAAGATGGAACTTAAGGGCAGTCGCGGGGCGTGGTCAAGGGGTTCCGGAGGCGGGTTTAAATGAGAGCGTGGTGGGGGGCCTGAGGGTCGTGGCTGGAACCTAAAGTTAGGAAAAGCCCCAAGTGTTCAGCGATCAGCCCGAGGCAGCAGCCTAAGTAGAGATCTAGGTCCCGGGGAGAAGAGGAATTAGAGGTAAGAAGGGGTGGGGCCAGAACTCAAATAGCCACCGGAGGGTGGGACTTGAGAGATACAAACGTTGAGTGGACGAGGTCACAGCTTCCACTGCCCGTCCCCCTGGAAAGTGAATGCCGACGGGACAGTGGAGAACCCCCCTGCCCCGAGTACTGACTGTAAAACCAAGCGCTGGGCGGGCACTCGCCTGCCCCACCCTTCCGTGACCTTGGGCTGGAATATTTGTGGGTGCCATTGTGTAGGGGAGAGGGAACGGCAGCGCTAAACAGAAGAGACAAGGGGTCCGAGAGCAAGCTTTATTAAGCAAGATGGAGGAGCGCTGCGGGCCCCGCTTGCCCCCGGCTTGTTGCCGTGGAGAGGTCCGCGAGCCCAGTTCAGGCCACGTCCACGCGAGCGAAGCTCTGGTCCATCCCCAGGCAGTTCTCCACGAAGACCTCGTACTTGCCGCTGTCTTCAGGCGTGGACCGCCGGATGGTCAACGTGGTGTTGGTGCTGCCGATCTCGAAGAACACCCTAGGGGCCGAGCGGGACCTCGGATCAAGTTACCAGAGCTCGGAGCGCGGCTATTCGACAGCTGTGTTCTTCGCCTCCCAGTGCCTCGCCCCCATCCTTCTCCCGCCGGGCTCCAGGGCCCGGTCCCGCCCTGGCTGCAGCCCCAGCCCCAGCCCCGATCTCAGTCCCCGCCCTTGCCTGTCGTCCTCCTCGATGTCCTTCCCGTCCTTAGTCCAGCCTACGTCGGGTGCAGGCTCGCCCATGATCTCCGCGCACAGGGTCACCGTGGCGCCTTTGCGCGCCTTGGTGCTGTCCGGACCCTTTTGAATCTTCGCGGGGACTAGAGCAAGGGAAGAGGGACACAGCCCAGTGGGGGACCTGGAGGGGAGGCGGGGCGCGGCTGGACCTCCCCAGACGATACCCCGTCCTACAGATTACATGCATTGAGCTCGCAGTGTGTAAGTGGACACACCATTAACCTTCTTCGGGGCTTCGCCGCCACAACTGTGATCAGGATTGATCGTCCCTTCCCCTCCTACTGCAAAGAGTTGATTAGAGACTCGGAGGACAGAGATTGCGGCTAGAAGGCGGAATCTCGGTTCACGTATCTCGTGGGGCCTTGGAAACAGCTCCAGGTGGTGGAAATTGCACTGGATCGTGGGGGGCGGCTAAAGCACCTGCGCTTGACTCTGACTCTGCCTTGGGTTCACGTTGTGACCTTGCGGCTCACTTTGTGTAACCTTGGAGCCCTGGAATCTAGTGATGGAAGCCCACCGCCACTTCTCAGCCTGGTGGGGCCGGACCCCAGAGAAGGACCTTCCTGGCTGGCGCGTATCCTCACCGGGGATCCCTCCAGGCTCTCCTGAGACTGGGCGTGCCACGACCCTATCCTAACTGGGCTAGGCCCAGAGGAGACGCTAGCGCTGGGTGGGGCTGCAGGGGCGGGTACCTTCCACTAGGATGCGCGCCGAGTCGGAGCACTGGCCGAAGGGATTGGTTACGTTGATGCTATACTGGCCCAGGTCAGCCAGCTCGCCGTCGCGCACCACCAGCGCCACGACGTCAGGGTCCTCGAAGATGTAGCGGTACTTGGGCCCGTCGCGCAACTCCTTGCCGTCCTTGCTCCAGCGGATGAACGGGTCCGGGAAGGCGGAGATGCGGCAAGTCAGCTTGGCCGCGCTGCCCTCGATCAGCACCACGTCCTTCAGAGGCTCCAGCACCCGCGGCGGTCCCTTTTCGCGTAGCTCCTTCCGGGACCTACGCGTGGGCCGGGTCAGGGCCCAGGGCGTGCCCCCGACACCGCTCCGGCCGGCCCGCAGCCCTGCCCATCCTTTCGGCCCAGCGGACCCCTAAGAGGGGCTGCTCCTGGCTGTTATGAAAGCGTCCACTCTGCTCGGCCACTTCACGCGCCAGTACCCCCCGGCCTCCCCAGGTCCAGTGACCCGGGGTGCGGTCTCTGTGCGCTGCCTCCCCGCCCCGGCCAACGCGCGGGCAAGTCCCTGCAGCGCCAGCGTCCTCCCTCCCTAGGGCTCCCCGTCACCTGTGGCCCCGGTAAGAGGCCTGGATGCGGATGGCCGCGCTCTGGACCTGGGGGTCGTTGATATCGATCGTGCAACCCGGGGGTGGGGCCGAAGGTGTTGGTTTTTTGGCGGGAGCTGCCTTGGACATCTGAGGAACGGACAGCAAACAGGAGGTCCAGGCTGAGCATGCCTACCCCACCTTCGGTCCTGCCCCAGCCGGGTTCGAACCAAGGACTGGGCTGAGGACTGGGACTCACCGTGGAGGGGGCGACGTGGGGACTTAGGTCCGCGGACTGGGCTACAGGCTGCACGGCGTGTTTCGGGATGGCACAGGAGGAGCGCGGGCAGGTGCTCAACCCTGGGCCCCGGTTTTATACATCGCTCCCCTCCTTACCTTGTTTGGCGTGGTTGACCTAAGCCCCCCGGGACCCTAGCCTCCGCCCGCGACCCACGCGGGCTCCTTATTTAGCCCGAGGACGCCTGGGATGCTGGCTCAGCCGGAGTTGCAGACCCGGGAGGGGAAACCCGAGCGGCTCTGGGGTGCACCGCGCGTCAGAGCCAGGACAGCTGCGCGGCTGGACGTGACCCCATCCCCTCCTTTTGTCATCCCACTCCTGGAGGGCCAGGCCCGGCCCCGCCCCTAGCGGACAGGGCTGTCAGCTCACTGCTGGGGCCACTGGACACCCAGGCCAGTCTCCGGACAGCCAGCCCACGTGTTCTCCAGGGGACACCGTCCGGTGCGGGGGGGTGCAAGCATTTGTGGGGTGTCCCTGAAAGAAGCCTGATATCCGCGGGCTTCTCTATCCATATAACCAACCACGAGACGACCACGTGGCTGCCCGGACCAATCGGGAAGCGCCTTGCTTTCAGGGTCGTCCGCTCCAGGCTGTGCCCCCTGGCGGTAAACTGAGACATCCAGCAAGGACCCGCATGCAAGGCTTTGGCGAACCCGCGCCCCAGTTCCACTTGCCCCACTCGCTACGACGTGGCAGGGTCCCCGGAAATTAGCACTGCTCCCAACGCCCCAGCTCTCGGTCTTGTCGTTGGCGCAGCAGACCCATCCGGGTGAAGGTTCAGCTGGTTTCCCCGGGGTGCTGTCTGTCACGCTCGGACACCGACGGGCTAGGAGCAATGTTCCAATCGTTGTAACTGCCCACCCAGGTGTGGAGCGCTGTCACCTTTTGATCAGAGCAATTTTGACACAGCTCTAGTGACATAAATTACCTTTGCTCCTCCGGGCTTACAACAAGCAGTTCACACGCCATTTCCAATGGCGATGGAGTCCGCTCAAGATCCGAGGGTGGGGGACGGGAGAGGAATTTTGCCATTTATCAAGATATGAATCCAGGCACCTCATTTTTATATGAAAACACTTGTAGTAGTGCGGAAGGTGGGGGTGGGAACGCATGGAGATCCTCACAGGCAAACTATGTATCTTCATCGTTAACATGACAGGTGGGAAGGCGTCCTCTGGTCCTGTCCAGCTGGCTGGTATTTTATGATGGGGCTTGGCCCTTCCCTGGGCTCTGCGAAGCCAGAGAGGAGGGGCCAGGCTGGGAGGGAGGTTGAGCCAAAGGAGACAACCACAGCCAGTGGCACACAAGGCCCGCTCTTCTCCCATTCCTGGTTCAGGTTCAGTTTCTTTTCACTTGCCAAGAGCAGAATTTTCAGGGGGTTCGGGTGGGGGTAGTGGGGAGGAAGTAGTCTCTCTGGGAAGGGGGTTCTGCCTCCACAGCCCTCCAGGGCAGGGTGGCTCAGCTTTAAGACCCTCAGTAGCATTCCAGGGGACAGGGTAGAGTCAAGGTGCCTTGACATCAACAGGTGGCTGACCTTGAGGACAAGCAGCCCAGGCTGATGTTTCTCCACCAGGCAAGCAGGAAAGGGTCTGCCTGTGGCCCCCACGCAGCAGACAAGTTGGGTTCTGATGCTGACAGCAAGGGCTTGGGCGGACCCTCCGTAGCTCTCACCAGCCACTGGGATGAAACCTCTGCTCCTGGGCTCAGAACCAGAGCTCAGGGCCTGTCTCCTGGGCAGAGTGAAGGTAGCTGGACCAAGAGTGGGGTTTGGCCTGGTTCAAGACAAAGGTCCAACATGCCTAAAAAGGTGTGATGGGGGGCATATGAGAAGAGGTGGGGGGGCAGCTACCAGACATTGCTTTGAAGGTTAGGGGGGGATTTAGTGATTCTGCCATGATTCCAGAAACTCTGAGGACCAGGCCATGGAGGGGCTGGGGGTCAGGGGAGGACATGGAGGACCCCAGGGGCTTAGCTAGTATATCCCAGAAGATGTATGTGGCCAGCAGGCCTGGGTTTCCTTTAGCAGAGAGAAGAGAAGTGCCTGTCCCAGGACTCCAAGCTGCCCCTCTAGCTGGTCTCCTCCCTGCCACCATCCCCCCACACTGACTCCCCACAGACCACACAGAGACCCTGCTTGCTTGCCATTTTTATTTTCCATGGGACAGACAGACAGACAGCTGCAAGGCAGCTGAATGGCTGGGGAGATGGTCAAGGCAACATGGACAAGAGGGATTGGGTGGAAGGGAAAACTTCATAAAAGTCAATAAATAAATAAATACGAATGGGAAGAAGGTCAAAGGCCATGAAGGGAGCCATGGGGACATCCCTGGGCCAGCACTGAGTGCCAGAACCCAAGGGCCTGAGTGGCCAACCCATCTCGATCCACCCTCTGTCCACCCTCTGGGCTTCTCCTTCCTGCAGGCCAGCAGCTGGCCGCCCCCCACCCCACAAGTCCTCTCTCGTCTCCGCCCCTGCCTGTCCCTCTTCTCGGTCCAGCTCTGGCTGAGTCCTGTCCCAGCTTCCTTGACATCCATTCCTGGCCCACCGGCCAGCTACCTGGTGCCCCTCCTCCCCTCCTCCACTCTCCTCCTGTGCTCTCCCCACCACCCCCTTCCCATCCCACCTTCTTTTCCTCTTCACTTCCTGATCCCCTTCTTGCCCTTCTTCCTGACCCCCCACCCCACCCCCCAGCGTGGCCAAGGGCTCTCCCGCTCTGTCAGGGTGGTGGCAGGCCCAAGCCCAGGCCTCTGTCCCCAGGTCCATGAGGTAATCGCCTGGCCAGGTGTTGGTGCTGGTGGTGTCAAAGCCTCAGGCCCACCCGGCTCAGCGTGGGCCCTGGAATGTCCGGCGTCCTCCATCAGTGGCACGGGAACCGAGGTGAAGCCCTAGGCCGGCTGTGGTCCTCGCCACTAGGGGCAGCCTGGGTAGGAGCGAAGCAGCACCTTGTGGCGGGTGGCGGCCTCAGCCCGACGGCGCCGCTGCTCACCCAGGAACTCCTTGAGCCGGTTGGTGGTGAAGGTGAGCGTCTGGCGGCGCAGCTTCATCAGGTAGGCGTCCTGCAGCCAGGGGTGTGCTAGGCAGTCCTGCAGGGAGGGCCGGCTCCTGCCCAGTGGAGCCAAGATTGGTGAGCTGATAGGGCTGGCTTCCGGAGCCTCGCCCACCCTGGCTACTGGGGCTCAATCTCCCCATCTCGGGTGCAACAATGGGGATTCTACTTGTCTCATAGGTAGGCTGTACAACCACTAGTAGCAGCTGGACTAAATCACAGGAGCATGGAGTGGATTCTGATTTATGGAGGACCCCTATGTGTGACAGAGTGGAACTGCACCCTATCAGGTTCTATGGCTGTGACCTCCCAGAAGTAGGTAACCAGGCCTTTCTTCTGAGGTTCCTCTGGATGAATGTGAACTGCCAACTTTTGAGTTAAGGGCCGAGCACTTAACCACTGGCACCACTCAGAGAGTCCTAGTAGCAGTAGTAGCCCCACATCAAGGGACAGGGAGGAATGAAGAGTCTTTGGCAGGGCTGGGAAGGGCAGTTGCAGGTTAGGAATCTGAATGCTTGGGATCAACTCACCAGGGATGTACTGAGAGGACCTTTCGCAGGAAGAGAGTGGCGCTCTGGGATGTGTTGGGGTATAACTGGAAGGCATCAAAACGGCCCCCCACGATCCGAGCCTCTGTTTCTTGGGGGTCTGGCTCATAGAAGGGGGAGCGTCCGCTGAGCCTATTGTGAGAGACAGTTCAGTGAGCACACCGGGGTCGAGGCCCACACCTGGGTGAGGGGAATGTGAAGGTGGGGCGCAGAGAGCCACAGGGCTCAGGAAGGAGTGGCCCCATGCCCGGTGTGTGGGGACGCAGGAAGTGGGAGGAGGGGGTCCCGGAGCCACGGTGGGCAGGGCCTGGGCACTCACATGATGTAGGTGAGCACGCCCGCGCCCCAGATGTCTGTGGCAGAGCCGATGGGTTCTCCCTTCACCATCTCAGGAGCTGACAGGAAACAGAGGCCAAAGTGACCCTGCTTCCTGGTGGCAGGGGAGTGAGGAGAAGCAGGGGAGCCCCTGGGGGCCCGAGGAGCAGGGACAGTGTCTGGGTACTACCAGAGCAGCCGGACAGGAGGCAGGTGGCCCTCGGGAGTCCCCAGGGTAGCTGAGGAGCCACCCCAGCCGAGTCCCCAGGACTCTAGGGCAGCTGAGAACCAGGGTCACCAGCTCCCTCTGGTTAGCTCGCGAGAAGGCAGTGTCCATCACATAGGGTGTGCTCACGCCCAGAATTCAAGGAAGGCTTGGAGCCTACTGGCCCCTCCTCGCCTAGCTGGGGACCCTGCTGGGGTGCTGTACTCCACCTCGCTGCAGACTCGGCCTGCAGACCAGCACTGGGTAATGCAGCAAGAGCTCAGCATGTAGCTAAATGGCAGCTTAAAAAAATTATATATATATATATTATATATATATAATTGAGTCCCTCCAGCTTCGAACACCCAGCTCTACCGTTGATAACTATCTGGTGCTGAACAATCTACTGACCCTCGCATCACCTCCTATTGCTTCATCTGTCAAAAAACCAAACCAGTTGCCCTCAAGTGGCTTCCAGCAGTGGTGGCCCTATGTGTGCAGCACATAACGATACTAGGGGAGTACACAAGCCAGACCTTTCTCAGGACACCCTTTGGCGTGGGCCAATTTGAACGGCCAAGGTTTCAGCGCCCAGCTGAGCACATGAATGTTTGCACCACCCAGGGACTCTTCATCTGTCAAAGGCAAATCCCAGCTCACTCCTGGCGAGCTGATTCCGACTCATAGCTACCGGGGATGGGGTTTCCTGAGACTGTCAATCTTTGATGAGAGCAGGCGCAGTATCTTTCTCCCGAGGGGTGGCTGGTGGGTTTGAATCACCGATCTTGCCATGAGCAGCCCAATGCCTAGCCCACAGAGCCACGCGGGCGCCTTTCATCTGCAACAGAAGTTGAGACTGAGGCCCATCTTGGGGACTATTGTACAGATCAAGGGAAACACATCCAGTTGGCTGCTGAGTTCCAAGGAAGTACTCCGTGCCTGGCTGCAGGAGGCCCGGTTCTCGTGTGTATGTGCGACTGCCCCTCTAGCGGGCGCTCCATCACAGACCCAGAAGCAGCCTGGTCCACTCACCCATGAACTCCAGCGTGCCCGTGCGGTGGCCCAGGGGCCGCAGGGCCTGGGGGTTGTAGGGCTGGGCACTGCCAAAGTCCACGATCTTGAGGGCATTGTCGGCGGCTAGCAGCAGGTTGTCCGGCTTGATGTCCAGGTGCAGCACGTGGTGGCCGTGGAGGTAGTCCAGGCCTTGAAGGAGCTGCACCAGGTAGGTAGCCACATCGTCCTCTGAGTACCGGAACCTGGGGGGAGGTAGGTAATGTCCCAACCCAGCGGGGTAGGGGGAAGCCCAGCCTGGCCCTGCACACTCCCTGGTGGGGACGGCTACCTGTCGCTGAGCCCACAGAGCAGCTCCCGGTTGCCGCAGCTCTCGGCGATGAGGACGAGATAGCGCGGGGTGATGTAGGCCTCGTGCAGGGACATGAGCCGCTCATGGTGCAGCGTCCGCAGCACCTCGTACTCCTGCAGCGCCCGCTGCTTGCCCTCGGCCGCATACGGCACGATTTTGGCCACGAAGGTCCGGCCTGTGGTGTTCTCCCGGCACGTTCGCACCACACCAAAGCGGCCCCTGGCGGGGGAGGCACCCAGGCTCAGAGGTCAGGGGTAGCTGGAGCCAGAAAGGAAGGCTCCAAGCATGGGCTTGAGTTGACCCTTAGGCCCTTGGGTTCGAATCCCAGCCTCTCTAGCCTCAGTCTCCCTATCTGTGAGCAGGGGACAATGCAGCCTCCCCGTCTCAGTCAGAGGGAGAAGGGGATGAAATCATGCAGTTTGGTGTGGTGCCTGGCTCAGAGACCAGCACTGGATGCCCACCCCACCAGGATGGGGGTCCTGGGTCGTTCCCCCCACCACCATCCTGAGTCCCCTCCCTGCCCCTGCCCCTCTTGCCTGGCTTTCTCCTCCAGAAAGGTGTAGGGTTTCTGAGGGGGGCCCTGTCGAAGTGTGGTGTTCTCTAGCCCTGGAGATATTGGGGTGCCACTTCCAGGGGAGCTGACAGTGTCCTTGGACGGGCTGATGCTCTTCACAGTCACCTTGGTGGGCTGAGGAGGGGGCTCAGGAGCGGGGGGCTCAGGGGCTGGGGGTGCGGACACAAAGGACGTCACCATGTACTGAGGAGTCGTGGAAGACACTGGCTTAGTTCCTCGAGGGGTGGAGGCTGGGGCTGGGGTCCCCATGTCAGGGATGGAAGACTTGGGCTCACCAGGCATGACCTGGCCATTGGGGGCGGTGGGCTCTGCCGTTCGAGAAGCCAGCAAGCCCCTGTGCTTTCGTGGGGGCGTTTGGGGCAGTGGGCCCCTAGCCTTGAGCGTGGACAAGGATGGGCTGGGGGATGCTGGGGGAGGTGAGGGGCTGAGGGGGGCTGGGGAAGCTGGGATCCGGGGAGGGGGCGAGGCCAGTGAGGTAGGAGAGTCAGGAGGAGGCGGGGCCCTGGCTGGCCCTGAGGTAACAGGGGCTTCTGGGAGCACAGCGGAGGAATCTGGTGGCAAGAATGAAAACTTTCAGCTTGGCACCTAGGGGGTGGGGGTAAGCCACAGGGTTGCCCCCGGGCACAGGCTCCCCAGCTCTCCCTGAGCACCCATCCTCTGACCTTGAGTGCCTCTGACAAGGACCTTCTCAGAGGGGTTGCTGAAGGGGCCCTGTCCAGCTCGGTTGGCACAGGCCACCCGGAACCTCACGGGCACGCCGATGGGCAGGTGCGTCACATTGTAGTAACAGTCGGGGATGCCTGAGCCTACGAGGTGCCAGGCCGACTCCCCTGCAGGAGCACGAGGGGGTTCAGCCTATGGCAGGGTGAGGGGAGGGTGGCCCGCCCTGGTGTGTGTGAGGAGCCTGGGGAGGGGACTTCCGTCCTGTCTCCCCCTGAGCCTCTCCCCTTTCTCTTGCCCGGCCCTACCCTCACCATCAACACGCCGCTCCAGTGTATAAGTGCAGGGCGCTCTGCTGTCTCCGGGCTTCCACAGCACCAGTGCCGTGTCCTGGTAGGTCTGGGGGACTTCGGGGGGCGGGAGCTTCCCTGGGACACCTGGTATGATGCGGGGAGGCCCAGTGAGCCCCATGCCATACCCTGAGGTCCATCCCTGCCCCAACCATCCCTGCCCCATCGCTGCTCACGGGCCACTGCCACGGTACAGGAGCTTGTAGTGCCGCCCAGCACGTTGGTTGCCGAGCACTCGTAGAGGCCCGCGTGCTTCCTGCCTGCCCGGGGGATGCTCAGCAGCTGCCGTCCATCTTTGCAGGACACAATGGTCACTGAGGGCTCCGCCCGCAGGGACTGTTTGTCTGTGGGCAGGAGGGGCTGCTGAGTGGCACCATCAGAGCGCACCCCCCCAAATCCTGCCCTTCTGCCAAGGGCCATCTGTCCTGTCCCCAGGGTCTAGGCCATCTAGCAGCAACCTTCGGCACTGGGGGTGTGCTCACCTTTCATCCAGGAGATGCGGGGAGTGGGGCAGGCAGCAGGCAGGCAGAGCAGAGTAGCCGCCTCTCCCTCCAGCAGCACCTGGTCCTTGAGTTTGATGTGGAAGACGGGAGGGAAGTCTGGAGGGGGCGACAAGGGTGATGTGGATGCACAGGGAGCCTGGCCCACTCAGCCTTAGAGGGGAGGGAGGGGAGGGCTAGCACTGCCCACAGGAGCAGAGTGATGTGGGGAACGGAAGCCCCCAGGCGCCTTCCATCCGGCATTTTCCTTGGGGTCAGCACCTGTTTCCCAAGGTGCCCTGTGTGGAACTCTCCTTCCTTCAGGGACTACTATGGAAGCCACTCTGGACCAAGCTGGAGCTGTCTGGAAACCACTTAGAGCAGGGAGCGCTCAGTGCGGGCTATGGAAACATTTGTTAAGGAAGACACAAACAGACAGAACCTGGGAAGCTATGGTGGTTGAGATCCTGCGATGGGGCACTGTAGGGCAAGAGAGAGAAGAAGGAGGAGAGAGCGGCCTAAGCTGAGATGGGATTCCCGGAGACCAGGAGGCACTGCTTGGGCAGACAAACACCTCCCCACTCACCACCACCACCACCAGTGTGTCAGCTCCCCCTTGGCCTAAGGACCAAGAACTGAAAGGGCAAGAGATCGCAGGGGCGGGGCCTTTAAAAACTCCATTATCTTTTCATTCCATTTTCCCATATGGTCTTCAAAGGCCCCTCGTATCTTCTGCAGACCCTGGACAAGGCATTTGCCTTCTTAGAAGCTCCACTTAGTGAAGGCTGGGGAGACAAGGGGAGGGGTGTCAGGTAAAAGGCAGCAGAGGCAAATACTGTTAAGACACACCATCCTGCCGTCTTGGGGAACGACGCGTGAGTGGACGCATAGCTGAAAGGTGTTGGGGGGAGAGTGGAAGTCTATGTAACTACAGATCGGACCGGCAAGCTATTTGTATATGGGCATTTAACTTTGTTACATGGCACCCATGGACAGAATGGAACATACAGGGGCCAAAGTCATGAAAAAGTCTTAGACCTAACCACACACCTTGAGGGTTTCAGGGAATGAGTCAGGGGGGTGGGGTGGGGGCTGGAGGCCCAGGATCATGGTCTTTGGGACACCTGGGTCAACTGGCATAATGCAGTGGACAAGGCCAATGTTCTACATCTTATTATGGTGAATAGGGCCCGGGGTCTTAAAAGCTTGTAGCTATCTAAGGTGCAAACAGTGGTCTCTCCCGGTTCAGAAGCAAGGAGAGTGATGGAAATTGGAGACACATGTAAAGAGGAAGTCCACTGGACTAATGGACCACTCCATCAGCCTCCATAACCGGACACCAGAAAACTAGATGGTACCCGGCTCCCATTACCACCTGACTGGGATCACGTCAGACAGGCCTGGCTAGAGTGGAAGAAAACTATGGAACAAACCTAAAAATCATCTGAAAGACCAGGCTCACATGTCAGAAAAGAGCCTGGAGGAACCCTTGAGACCATGACCTTTAATCACCCTTCAGTCTGACTGAACTCACACCTCGGCTCCATGTTCAGCCAAGCAGTAGACAGGTCTCTAAGGGGAACAAAGACACTAAGGAGATGCATCCACTTTAGAAGAAGCAACCTATTGAGCTCAATGGGGCAGTATTTACTCACGGACATTGTTCCAAAAGGGTTAAGAAACAGGAGCACAGGGAGGGAGGAAGTGGGCTTTGTTACATTGTGGGGATGACAATCAATGACATGAAACAACGTGTATGAATTGTTGGCTGGAAAACTGATTTGTTCTGCAAACCTTCACCCAATTCCCAGTAACAAGCTCCATTTCTTGTAAATTGAGGGTGGTTATGAGAATTAAAAGCAGCATGTAAAGTACTTAGCATGTGTCTGTCATCCAGTGAATGCTAATAAATGTTGGGTCTGCTTGTTATTGCAGGGAGTTGTGGTGGTAGCATGGTGAAATGCTTCAGCCCTCACCGAAAAGGTTGCCACTGTTGATCAAATCCACCAGTTACTGGGCAGGAGGGCGAGGTTCCAGGCTGCTTCCCGACAGAAAACCCTAAAGGGACAGCCCTACTTTGTCACATGGGGTGGCTCTGAGTGGACACACCTCACGCTCCTGGGGTGGTGGTTCTGGCTACCATCTGGGTAGGAAGCCAGTGGAGGAGGGGCTGTAGGGGGTGGGAGGCTTCTGAAAGAGGCTGTGCCAGCAGGCTGGGAGCTGCCTTCCCAGCTGGCAAGTGTGTGCTGGGGGCTCCACACTGCACTGAGGGGGCCAGTCTTCGCTCCAGTGCACCTGGTGACACCCAAGTGCCACAGAGAGTTGAGGCCATGCTCCCTGGGAACACCTTCTAGAACTGCCCACCCTGCCCCCAATCTTGTCCTGACCATGGCCAGGAGAAAGGAATTTTAGCAGCTGAGCTTACAAAGCTGGGAGACTCAGGGCCTCCTGAGCTCAATGGCAGGCAGGTTGCCTAGCCTGAGCACAGGAATAGGCACCCCCTCCCGCTGTCCCACTATGCCCCAGGGAGGGGTCCCCCATAAGGAACAGTCCAAGCCCCCTCATGGCCTGCAGGTGCAATGTGTATTGTGGGTGGGGGCCAGAAAGGAAGAGGAGAAAGAGGGTGAAGTGTCCCTGGCCCAGTTGGGCCAGCCCCACCCCCATTCTCCCAGGGGCCAGCGCTGCTGGGAGGGAGGGGAGGATGAGGTAAGGGGACATGGCCTGGCCTAGGCATGAAATCTGCTGCACCAGCAAAACGGAGCTGAGCCTGGAGTGGGGGAGGGAGGCCCCAGGTGGGCAGGGATCAGCTGTCCCCAGGCCTGCATCCCAGCTTATTTCTCTCTTTCCCCTCCCCCCTCCAGCTGGCCTCTGCTGAGCCGCCCAGCTCCCCAGACACTGTCCTCCCAGGCCCAGTGGAATTGAGGCTGGAACCGGAAGCCCAGAGGGCTGCCCTGGCTCCCGACCCAACTCAGAGCCCCCACACTCTGACTCAGGCCCGTTCCTTTCCTGCAGGCCCCGGGTGAATCCCCTTTTCAGATAGGGGGGACTGGGTGACCCAAGTGGAAAATTTCTCCCTCCTGTGGTCCCAGGGCATTGACTCTTAATCCTTAATACCCTCATGGACCAGGTGCACCTGCTTCCTATGGGGGGAGGGGAGTAATTCCAGGTCTCCAATAGAGCCAGGGCTCTCCCACAGCAGGCAGCTAGCCAGAAAGAGGCCTACGGACAGGATCCTGAAGCCACCCAGAGACCTGCCTGCAGAGGGTCACACAGCTCACTACTTTCTAGCTCTGGGACGTGGACAGCTACCCTGCTTCCCTACGCCTCTTGTTTCCTCACCTGTAAAATGGGGACGGCGATGATGATCACAGTTCCCAAACACTGGGGGTGGGGGG